TCTGTAACCTTGTATCACTGGCAATGTATTGCCATAAAGGTCTTGTGTAACACCGGTCCTACTATTAAATATACTCCCCTGATATTAATATGAGGAACGGATGATAATATAATTATCCCCTTCTATATTTCTCTCTTTCTATGGTGCTTTTTATGTGTCAGGCTCGCTTTGACAGGAGACATCGATCACAATTTCTGGGCCATTGCCCAGAGCTGAAACGCTCCATGTGATGGAGGTGTGAGTTGTTCTGCACTCTGACCCACTAAAACACTGTGCAACTCGCTCTGTCTCACAGGACGTCAGTCCCACAAAGTCTGCATCCTAAGGTGGTGTTCAGACTTAAAATAGCACTGTGTTAAAATAATGCAAGAGCATGCATTGGCGTGGGTGTATTGCTACAGGTAGTAGTGAAAAGTACCCATAAAGGTAAAGGTAGAATACAGGAAATACTAGTTGATTAGATAGAGACTAAAGAACCAGCTATCAGGCAAAAGATTCTACTACACCTGGGCAAGACTGAGTCTATGGTTCAAAGCCTAGGTTAAGAAGAAGAAGAAGAAAAGGAAGATATACACATATGCCCAAACAGGACCTATACATGCATTAAATGGACAGACGTCAGATCAAGGGGGCTGCCTTGGACAGGCACCCTGAGCAGTCTTCTTTGGCCTCCCTCTCTTCCTCTTGCCGCCCTCAGGCACCCAGTCCATTGCCAAACTCGCTGGTCTCTCTCTTGGCAGTCGGAGTACGTGCCCAGCCATTCTTCTTCTCCTGTCAGAGAACATGTCAGACAGTAGCGCCACCCCTGCCCTTCTCATCACCTCATCGTTGGTGATGTGGTCTCGCCATGAGATCCTCAAGATGGTTCTGGGGCATCGTCGGTGGAAGACATCCAACATGTTGGTAATGCTGGCAGTCCTCATCCACGTCTCGCAGGTGTAGGTCGCTGTTGGAATGACCACTCACATATGCAGGCATAGCTTGATGGCCGTAGTGATGGCTTTGGACGATCATATGTTGCGGAGCCGTTGGAACTGTTTAGGGACTTGACCAGAAACCCCCCCGGTTCCCAAGCCAAGTCCCTATGGACTGAGCTACTGCTGCCCAAAGCTTATTGCATTGGCCGGTAAAATGCAATAAGCTTCAGGCAATAGTAGCTTAAACAAGGGATGCGGATTAGAAATTAAGACAGAAGGGGAATCTATACATTAAAGCCTTTGTTAGCTACCTTGGTTGCGTTGTTGATTTTAACTTAGGGGGAGCTTCCAAAGCCATGAAGATTTTGGGTAAGGTAAAGTAAATACCAGAACTAGATGGCTAGATTACTGGATAGGGAATCCCTAAAGCTTGTCCTCTTGCTTATTCCATTGTCACTTGGACTATGGTGTTAGTTCACTGTATTAAAGCTTTAATAAAGCCTTGAAACAGAAACTTCAAGTGGCACAAAACAATTTGGTGAGAGTAGTGTTTGAGCTGGATAATAGCAGTCATGTGGGCAGGTCTCAGTTATTTCAGTTCTAATGGCTTTCAGTTGAGGATAGAGCACGTCATGCCTGAGTTAATATAGTCCATAGGATTTTAAATTGCAGACCCTTATTTACCTTGACAATTACTTTTATTATTTAGAAGAAGTTCGTCACAACACCAGAGCGACAGTGGCTAACCTAAATTTTTACAAATTCAAAACCATGATGGGTAAAATTTCTGTTATCTATGCTGGTGCTACAGAGTGGAACAAACTGCCTCTTGCAATGAAGGAGGTGCAGAACCCACAAGCCTTTATGAAAATGTTCAAACAGAGACTGCTTGATAGCATCTCAAATAAGGTCATGATCATTTTGCATATTGAAATCAAGTTTCTTAAGAATGTACCTATGTGTATTGTTACGTTTGTTTTATTGGTATATTTAGTTGTGGGTGGGTTGTTGTGTGCCGTGTGTTTGGACTTTGGACATTGAACAGCTGTCTCCATCTTGTTGTGAAGTGAAAGAACTGATGGAACGTCCTTGACCATGATGAAAATAACTTGTGGACTTTGTTGTGTTATCCCTGACACTGTCTTATATGTCTGTACTTTCTTACTACTACATTCAAAATTTGTCATATCAACTAAACCAATGGTTCCCAACTGGTGGGTTGCAGTCCAAAATTGGGTCGTGTGTCTATTCTGAATGGGCCGCAAGTGACTCGCCAATGTGTCAAGTTTGTAAAAAACACTTCATCTTAAAGTACAGTGAATTTCTGGCACAGAGCTTTAATTTTGAAGTGCCGTTTCCTGCTGTAGAGTGAGTGAGGAACAAACAGCTACTTAACAGAGACAGCAAACTAGCTCAACGAAATGGCCAAATGCAAGTATGACGCTGACTTTATTCAACTATGTGGATGTCGAACTACTGACTATGGAGAAATCTGGACCCCCTGGCTGGGCCAGTTGGGAACCACTGCACTAAACTAAACTAAAAAACTATAGTTTGAATCATACTCCATGTGTTCAAATGCACCAAAACACAGCATAGTGTTTATTTTTGCACTTATTATTCTTGAAAGTTGTCATGGCAGCAATCTTTGTTGTACACGATATTGCAAGGTAAACAGCAGAATTATATAATTCACATTACAGAGTAATCCACCAGGAATCTGCTCTTAAACTGTGATGTAACATATACCATGATGTTGTTGTGTTGATGCAAAAGTTAAGCCAGGTTAGGGCTGGGCGATAAATTGATTTTATCGATTAATTCGAATTTGTAGATTAGGCTGATTTGTTTTAATGAAAATCGAGTTTCTATTTAAAATCCGCCACCGCCGCTCCACGCTGGGCTCCCGTAGTTCAGAGTGGGCTTACCCCTCCCCCCGCGCGCTTGATACACAAACAACATGGCAGCGAATGGGGAAGAACTCGTTCTCAAGAAAGGGAACGAGTTCTTCAGCGCTTTTGTGTGCACACCTGTGTCTGTGTTTGTGCGTGTGTGTGTGCGCATCAGGGCCGAACTCCGCCGTGCGCGACACAGCGAGCAGAGGAGGATTTAGATGCGCACCGTGTAGGGACATAAATGACATGCCGTTGTGTAAATAAGATAAATAAGTGTTACCATTGCCAAGCTGGCAGACCCCCAAACCGTAGTAAAGGGACCTCCAAAGACCATTAGCTCCTTTAGCTTGTGTTAGCTCGTTGTGGCAACAACACATAAACAATGGGACTTCGTCTGCATTAAAGAACGGCACTTTATTTTCAGCACTGCAGGGATGATGCACAGCCTCTCTCATCAGTGTCTGACTTTTACATAGAGGGAACTAACTCAAAAACAGAATGCAGAACTGCATAGGCTTCTTCACTGTGGCTGCTCGATGTAAATAACATATCACTTGCCTCACTTTCTTCCTGGGGCGCATCCGTCTGACATCACACACCACACCCGGCGCACTAACGTCTTATACCTCCTACATCAACTACACACACACACAGCTCCACACACACACACAAGCCACACACATCAGGCTCAGCCTGTAACATAAGGCTATTTAGTTTGTTTAATAAAAGGACAAGGTATAGACCTGTTCTATAGGAAAGGTAACCTTAAATGACTTCTGTTGTGATCCAATATGATGGTAGGGGAAACACTGCCGTATGATAAGAAAGGGGTCCGGTGGAAAGCGATCACAGATGCAGTCGCCATGTATATTGCAAGAGATATGGTGCCCATATATAGGCTACCGTGGAAAAGCTGGGGTTTATTCACATGCTGAAAGTTTTGGACCCCAGGTATGTGCTACCAGGCCACAAATATTTTTTTTTAACTAGGAGGGGAAAAAATCGATTTAAATCGTGAATTGGATTTTTTGTGAAAAAATCTGAGATTTTTTTTTAGGCCATATCACCCAGCCCTAAACCAGGTTAAACTTTTTTTGCCTTTAAGCCCTTCGTTGTGCTGTGGGAGCCCTCTGTGTTGGGACCCCCACTTTTCCAAGACAGAAGTTTCACTGAAATTGAAGGTTTTTTTGTTGACAGTGCTGTTGGTCCAAACATGGCCTCCCTGTGTCAGTTAACCCTTCGTGGTCTTGTTGTTGGCACAGGATGACAGTACTAGCTATTTCAGTTTGAGTGAATGAGGCAGATGAAGCAGCCTTTGGGTGTTCCTTGTAATGGAGCACAGGGCTCAGAGGGAAGTCAGCCGTGTTTATCCCTCTGGTTATCTAAATCTTTCCTCCAACTGATGATGAGGCTCTGGGGGACGTGTTGCTTTAATGGGAATACTGCATATTTCACATTCTTTCTTTTCTCGTTCTTCCCTTCTTCTCTACCCCACATTTCTCTATTTTCATTTCTTTTTGTGTGTGTGTGCGCTTCCTTCAAGCTTAGCTCAGAATAGTATTTTCACCATGAGGGTTTGTTGACAGCTATCCTCCCTCTCATAGCCGTAGACGCTATTGGCATTATCGCACAGCAAGGGCCCAGCCTTTAACACCGTACTGCTATCAACAGTGGGCCAGCTGCAGGCGACGCCCGCTGCTTTCAGCTTATCTTTAAAGCCCAAACCATTTGGATCACACCGACCATGAGGCAACAGTGGCGTCCATCATGTAGACGTCATTTAAAACTCATCTATCACCGGAACAACATCATTAGTGAAGCTCTACACATCAAACATGAGCCTCCCCTCATTTAAAATCCCATCATTTAGTCATTTGACACGGTCATTGAAGACACAGACAAATGCGAAAACAATGAGGTGATACTGCGTGTGTCTGTGGCACTTGTTAAATGGATGAGGTTTACTGATTCTCTATTAATACAAAGCGTTTCTACATCAAGAGAGACATTTAAATAACAACAGAAGGTGTCGCGCACACAGCTCAGCTTCTCTAGTTCAGGTAAGTTTAAAATGCTGTATGTTAAGGTGTCACCTTTCACATGAAATGAATTATGCATGTTTATGTGTGCGAGAGAAACACTTTACACCAGCAGCTTCAGCAGCATATTAATTATGTGGTGTGTTTACCTGGAGGCAGGCAGGCGCTCGGCCATGTGGTTTGTTGACGTCCACTGCTACAAGCTGCCACCCCCCAGCAGCGTCTTCATGGAACATCTGTGGCACAAGGACAGCACATGAGAGGAAGAACACACACCAAAAAAAACCTGCTGGACACTGAAGCACTGGACAAAACTCAAGCACACACATCTACCCTTTGGCTACATCTTCATAAAACATCTGTGGCCACAAAAAGAAGCTGAAGGCATCACACACACAGATTCATACCCCCACCAAAACAGTGTGATAGCTGCTAAATACAGTATGCAGGCTTAAGGAGCTAACAGCAGAAACAAACAAACCAGTATCACAGCAGAGACTTTCAAACTCACAAGACAGCTGGCTCCCTCATAAATATCAATAATTCCTCTGAAACATGAAGGCAACAACTTCCTAATAAACACTATAATCACAACTGCTTCCAAAATGCCATGTCATTCACCTTATGTACTCAACCAAGAGTTAACTCGGCAGAAGAGTGACTTAAAGTGTTGGTTTCAGTTAGTTGTCGAATGCTGCCGTAACCCCACAAAGACTTAGATGTCATTGTTTCTGACAGGCCAAATTTTCCCTTAACCATGCCTTAACTGCAGCTGTGTTGCCATAACCACAATATTTCATTCATCCTCTCAACTATAAAACCATACAGTAATTGCCGTGTACTAATATTGTAACGACAGTTATTATATAGAAAAAGAAAAAAACAGTCCACAGCACAGTGGTGCAATAAGCTGAATGTCAATGCCTGCATAGTAACATGTTTAAAATGACAATGCTGACATGTTTTGCAGATACAGCCAAACGTTTGCAATCTTCAGCATCTTAGCTTGGCATGGTAGCATGCTAATGGGCACAAAACACAAAGTACAGCTGAGGCTGATGGGAATGTCATTAGTTTTGCAGGTATTAAGTCAAAACTAAAGCATTAGATGAATTCAAATTTGGACCTGACAGATGCCCTGTTTCCACCGGGCAGTACAGTGCAGTTCAGTTCAGATCGGTACGCTTTTTTTCCGTTTCCATTGTGAAAAGCTGTGGATGGTACCAATGGAACCGTTCTGTACCATCCCAATCTCATTTGGGGTACCTAGCACACAGATCTGGTACTAAAAGGTGGAGCTGTGAACACTGCAGTCTGTTGATTGGTCAGTAGAGGATGGTCACTCTGCTCAGGGCTGAGTTGTGGCTGGTTTTGAGGCTCATGTAACCACTGTTCATACTGTGGAGAGTTTTATTAATGAACCTTAACTATATAATGAAAGGATGTTTTGCTGCCTCTCACAGCAGCTGGAGTCTGAGAAAAAATAACTAGACTTGACTTTGCATGAGTTGACTTTGTAAAACCATCAGCACACCTTAAATTTTGGCAATTACTTTAGTTTTTATATGACATACACTTTTAGCAGTGAGTGGATCTTCAAGCATTTATATATAATAATTTTGACTGGGACTGCATGTATCCCAATCCTCACTCACAGAAAAAAAAAAACGTCGCAGAACATCGTTCCTGTGGGCTCCAGCAACACTAAACCTGAGCTTGCCTAAGAAGGACTAAATGCACAAAGCTGCTATTTTCAAATATCCCATGGAGAGAGACTCTCACTGCAGCCTGTTTTATTTTGTTCTGAAAATGTCAGCATGCAGCCTCGTTCTGTGGACAATCACCAAGGTACAGACTGGTGAAGGAGGAAATACAGTGAGTGCTAGACGGAGCAGTGAGTGACAACAACACCGCCAACATTTAAGGGTACTGTTTGCAGTAATCTCTCAAGACAGATTCTGCAATTTACATTGTAGAATCTGTCGGCAGCCCTGTGTGAAAGACGACTAAGAAGGGGGAAGGGCGGGGCTTTGAGTCTGAACGATGCTGCGCTTTAACCAATCACAATGGAGGGGGCGCGGCCGAGACGTGCAGGTGTCCCCAGGAAATGTGTACCTACAGAAACAGCAAGCTCCGCGTCCATAGCGACAACTCCACCCAAAACGCCGTCTCGTCAACGTGGAAAAAAAAATATTTTTTCCAGCGGATGTCTGAGTTACAACATCATTTAGCTAACTGGAGTAGTTTCATGTCGTAATCCGACAACAGGAGGCTTTAAACAGATGACGTCCTGATGTTGGCTTTGCTAACTGTCACTGTTAGCAGCAGCCACTGATGCTTTCTAGACATCGTGATTTCCCATAACTGAATAAATACCACACATAGCAACACAAAACTGCTTTGCTAGCTCAATCATGTTGTAACTAAGATATCCGCTGGAAAAAATATTTTATTCACGGACCGTTTATTGAGTTATTACCTTATTTTTATACAGTCTATGGTTATTACAGACACCGCTAACGGCTAACGTTAACAGCTAACGGTTAGCCCAGCGAATCTACGATAACCATGTTAACGTGCACACGGAAATAGTAACGTTTGTTCAGTCATTGTGTTTATAAACTTAACAAACATCAGATTAGTCTACACGGTGATATATAGCTAAACTCTGCTGGTTTTCTACCCGAAGTATTTGTAAACAACACGGTGATTCCCTGGGGGCACCGCCGGAAGTCAAGGGCGTGAGGCCCCTGCGCTTCCGTTAGTCGAAAAACTCCGGGCTGTGCCTCCAGAGGTAAAGGAAGAAAAAAATTTTTTTTTTTTTTTACCGATGGATTTCCAGATTGTGTTTGCAGTGGAAATGCTAGGGTCTAGGAACCATGTCTGAAGGGTTACTTTTGGTTCCAAAGGTACCATACCGAAAGTGTTTGGTGGAAACGGGGCTAAATATCATGGTAATCCATCCAACAGCTGTTTAGACATTTCACTGAAAACAAAGACAGCCTTATAGGGGCACTAGAGGTAAAGTCAATGGATCACCCAAGTGATAACAATTCATGTTCTGGGAACCACAAATGTCTGTTCAAAGTTGTGTGCCAATCCGTACAATATATGTTGAGATATTTAACAGGGTAAGTAAAAACTTCAACCTGCCTGTGGTGCTAGAAAAATAGTCAGCGGGTTACCAAAGTTAATACGATTCATCCCCTGAGGCCATGAATGTCTGTTAAAAACTGTATGCCAATCTGTGCAGTAATAATTGGTAATATTTTATAGAGTAAGCAAAAAATTTACTTGTCAAAGGCTCAAGAAAAATAGTCAGCAGGTTACCAAAGGTGTTCATTCTCAATTCATTCTCTGGGGTCCATGAATGTTTGAGCAAAAGGCATGTCAATCCAACTAATCTTTGTTGAGATATTTCAGCCTGAACCAACATGGAGGACCATTCAACAGACCCACATGCCACTACAGTGGCTAAAGTACACTGAACATTTGAACTTTGCATGATCTAAATTTTAGTCCGATATCAATGCTCTACTTGGGAAATGGGTTGGTAGGAGCCACAAGCCAGAACTTTTTTTGTATAAATGTTCTTTTGAATTCACTTGACAAATGATGACAATGTTATACAATATGACTGTGAACTAAGTAAAATCTGAAGGCTGTTGAAGTTTCTGAATCAACTAAACTTCCACTTGCATCATAGAGCCAATATAAAGAACTGCTGCTTGCAAATCCTTCAACCACTCTACCTCATTTATCATTCTACTCTGTAATCGCATATTTTACCTTTTCCCCTCTGTTTCAGTTTGTCTCATACCTGTCACATCGGCTTCACATTTTATCACATCCTAGCAAGACCAGGTTTCTCAAACCATGGCTTTTATCATCTTGCTTTTAATATAACATGGCAAAGAGAATAATATCTCCAACCTTGATGTGAAACACACAGGGTTGATATCATTCAACTTCAGACGAGCCAAAGAAGACTTCAGTGTAATTCAACTTTAAGTTCCACCCTTAATTACAACTTCACTCACTGAAATATAGGACAAAAAGCCTGATCCAGTGAAACAAAAGTGGGTTTATCCATTGTCTTTTTATCAGCATAGTAAGGCTCTACAGCCTAATCTCTATTAAAAGCCTCAAAAATCTGGAGACAGTGTAGAGAAGTCAAGGAATGGGGGTTGTGGCATGGGTTGTATCTCCTAGGGACACCTTACACCAGCCTTTCTCTCCAGGGAGCACAAGGAAGGAAGCATATTGTCTCAGCCTCTGTGATTGACAGTTAAGTGTTACACCACAGCTAATTAGTTTTTCCCCCTCGAAGATAAAGATTGGGGCATGACGATGTGATTACAATTAATTTTGATAATGGAAAGAAAGGCTAATTGTTTTCAAGGTCATAGCTGTATATGCATGCCAGTGGCACCAGCCTGTTTTCCATCATGATTGAAGTAACAGGGGTTTTGGTTTAATGAATTTCCAAGATGCATCATTTTAATAAATAATAAATAACAGCACTGAAATCAGTTCTGCGTTCGTCGGGCCAACTCCATTATGAATAAATGTCAAATGTTTAAAAGCGAATTTGGATCGAATCGAATCCAAATGTAAAACTTCAGATGTGCTTCAATGAAAAACCAATGATGGCTTTTCTTTGCAAGTAACAGAAAATCTGCAGATGCAGATCCATGCATCCACCCACCACGTTCATTATTTATTGATGTATTTATTAGTGTTTTAATTGGCTGCTGCCATATAACACCTTACGTGGTGTTATATATTCTCTGTGAATTCAGCTGTGGAACCAAAAACGTCTTCAATTTTCTGCCCCCTTATCTTCCCAGTTTTCAACTGTAACGTAATCATAAATCATACATTTTACAAAGTACTTTTTGTCTCTCTCTCTCTCTCTCCATTTCAATTTTCTCTGCTTCAAACCCGCCTCCCAACCCTCTTCGTCAATGCAGAGTAGTCACTGTAAGCGTGGAAGAGGCAATCAAATGCCTGTTTAGTCAAGAAAAAATAAACATTGATCAGGCCCGTATTATACCTGAAAGGACATTTGTAACACAGCTGAATGTTTAAACTCAAAAATGTCAAGCCAAAGTTAATCACTAACACAAATGAATGCTGCCTGGACTGAATAACAGTAAGAGATCTACTGGCATATAGAATAAACCTCCAAAAACTGTCAACCCGTTTTATTGTTATTGCTTTCCTCTCACCCAAATCACTTCTTTAGGACAGTGAATGTCTATTCAGGCAATAAAGTCTGTCAGCATTCCTTGTTATCTCTGTCTAGTGTATATATCCGTCTACGGTCTGATCTCATGACAATTTATAAGTAGTGATACAAATAAACTGTAGGAAAATATGAGCACAAAGCACCTTTTGAAGTAACAATCCTGTAACTTGTTTTTCAATAAACATATTGGACAAGAAAACATCAGTACAAACTAAAATGCAAGTTGCTTACTTAATCTTTAGGGTTATCCCTCATTTTGTGGTTCAAGTTGATTTATTAACAACCCAACCACCTTAAATATCTTGTTGCATCAAATTATTTCTGGGGGCATTTTGAGCCTTTATTAGATCCCAATCATGGAGAGATGACAGAAAATAAGGGAGAGATATGCAATACAGCCAGATCAAAGCCAGGATGTTGTGTTTCAAGGTCAGCACCTTAAGAGTAACGTAGACAAACTGATGTAAAGTCTTCATTAAATTTACATTTAATACATTTTTTGAAGTGAAGTAACTTCGCCCCAGCCATATCCTCTGGTATGTTCTAGACCAGTGGTTCCCAGTTGGTGGGTAGTAGTCCAAAAGTGGGTTGCAGGTCCATTCTGAATGGACATGTCAAGTTTGTAAAAACCAGACTTTATTTTGAAGTAAATTGAATTTCTGGCACAGGGCTTTTATTTTGGAGTGTACTTTTCTGCTGTAGAGTGAGTGACTAATAGATAGCAACTTGACAGAGACAGCAAACTAGCTTGACCACATGGCCAAACGCAAGTATGATGCTGACTATATTAAACTGTGTGGACCTTGAACTGATGACGAAGGAGAAATCTGGACCCTGTGGCTGGATCTGTTGGGAACCACTGTGACCTGTCCCTGGGTCCTCTGTTAGACGTGCCCAGACTACCTCCAAAGTTATGTATCTTGGAACCTAATTGAATGCCCCAAACTACCTAAAAAGGTTTCTTTTAACACCAAGGAGAAGTTACTCCTCTCCAAGCTCTTTCCTAAGGTCCAACTAGGGCTGGGCAATATATCAATATTATATGGACTAGATATCATCTTAGATTTTGGGTATGATGATGTTGTATTTTCTTTTGTCAAAGCATCAATACTCAACTCAATCTAAGACATTGTATTTTAAAATCATGGTAATTTGGAAAATGCATTCATTAATTTTCAATAACTGCTTATCCTGTTAGGGGTTGTGGGGGGGCTGGAGCCTATCCCAGCTGACATTGGGTGAGGGGCAGGGTACACCCTGGACAGGTCACCAGACTCATCAGGGCTGACACATAGAGACAGACGACCATTCACACTCACATTCACACCTACGGACAATTTAGAGTCACCAGTTAACCTGCATGTCTTTGGACTGTGGGAGGAAGCTGGAGTACCTGGAGAAAACCCACACTGACACAGGGAGAACATGCAAACTCCGCACAGAAGGACTCCCCCGCCCCATGTTCTTTGTTTCACTCAGAACACAACCCGGCAAATAAAATTATGAGAAAATACAAACTTTTTTCCACAGATACCTGACCCAATGCAGAACTCTGCCCTCTAGGGGACCAACTCATTTCGGCCACTTACATCTTTGATAACCTACCCTCTATCTTACCCTTAATTGTGAACAAAACCCTGTGACTCCCAAAATCCTGAGACACCGGAGTGAGTCATTTGCTTCCAACCAAAGCAAGGCAATCCATCATTTACAGGCAGGATACCATGGCCTCAGACTGGGAGGTGCTGACTCTCATCCCCAATGTTTCAAACTCAGCTGGTGGTAATGGGCTGATGAAGCCAGCAGAATCATCAAAAGATAGTGATGCCATCCTGAAGCCACCACAGCGGACACTCTCCACCACTACCACCAAAACACACATCTGCAGCACCTTTAGGCTGCCAATTCTGATGTAAGTGAAGGCATTTTATTGATGACCGTGCAGTCTTGTAACCCTTAAGAAAGCCCCTCCTGTCAAAATGTGTTTGTGTTCCTTCCTTTGATTCTTCCAAAATCATGCAACTTTGATGAGCTGAAGTCTGATGAATGGACAGATTTTTCTGCACTCCAAACTGAGATGACCAGCAAAGAAAGCAGGTGTTCAGGAAGTGTTTGGAATCAGGTCAGATTTAGTTGCCACATAAAGTTGTTTTAATGCAGCACTACTTTGTTAGGTTGTGTTTCTGTGAGTGTGATAGCTGTACCTGTGTTGTAGCGGTGGAGGTGGTGCTGCTCCTTGACCCCCACATCTGCTGAAATTGCACTCTTATCTCAGCAAATGTCTCGATGATGACAGCAATGAACACATTCTGTAAAAGAGAAAGACAGATAGAGTGAGACACTGGGAGAGAAAGAAATGTTGTGACAATTAAAAATAAATGACCAGGTGCAGGTCTGTCTCTTGACTTCCTCTCACCATCTGTGATATGATTTTCATTCTCTCATTAGCCCAAGAACATTCTACTAACAAGGGGAAATCGTTATGTCTGTAGGTGAAAGATTAGGCTATGTCAATTAACCGAAACCCTTTGGTGTTCGGCTATCCCCGGCTGCCATGCCATGGGAGGTGAAAGCATTGTGAGAAGAACACTCGAGAGAGACAGAGAGAGAGAGACTGGCTCTAACCTTGACAAGCCATGCCAAGAAGAAAATGAGAGTTATAAAGTAGAAGTAGGAGCGCCAGCGAGGGAAACTGTCAATGGCTCTGTACATAAGGAACACCCAGCCCTCCTGGGAGGCAGCCTCATACACGGTGAAGATACTGGTACCTAAACAAAGACAGACACAGGAGTCAGAGACATGTACAGTCAGAAGAGAAAGCAGAGATTGTTATTGAAACAAGTGTCAGTATCGGTCTTTTTGTTTAACAACGTGATGTCTGTGAGCTTCACACCAATTATCACGGCTCCCCTCAGACTCAGCCTTTCAAAAAGACAATACCTTGTGTTGCTGTATAATGAAAAGAACATCCTGACAGCTTACAGGAGGGAAAACACAGCACCTCGGTATCCTCATGACTCCGTTCTTAATAATGACAAGACCTTGAATTCTGAAGAATCTGATGGAATTATCCATAGTGCATGCCTTCTTATTGCTGATAAATTTACTCAGATGTAGCTAATTAACATAAATTCTCTGAGCTGGCCAAACTACTTAATGAAACTCTTGGCAGATTTCTGCGCTTTCTGCAAATTAAATGCCTGTACTTTTAACACCGAGCCAAAGATGATTTATCCAGGGAAGAAACACCACCCTGTGTTATTTTATTGTTACCTGTAAAGTACAGTAAAGTTGCCAGCAGTCAAGTGTAACTGACACACAGCTGGCACACCAATAACAACAGTCAGAATCTCCCAATTCAACTATTATTCAGCACCTCATATATCATTGTTTGAAGCTTTTCATCCTAAAGGGACACTTGTCTGATTTTCAACCAGCTCTGTATCATGACAATGCAGGTAGTATGTGTAAATGAAGCGTGGTAAACTTTCCTCTATCTTACCAGCAAACACACATTTGCCGGCTCTAGGTCTGTTGCTCAAAAAACAAATTGCACTTCCACATTTTATATACCCACCACCACAGACACAAAGAATACAGAAGTTAGATGAGAGAGAGAGAGAGAGAGAGAGAGAGAGAGAGAGAGATGTCCCTCTGTCTGTCTCACAATCAAACTCAGACCAAACTAGGCAGCCACGATCAAATATGAGCCAAGATTCTGTTACTGTATCACCCATTTCTTGCCTAAAATGTCTTCAGAAACATATCTTACAAAAAGTCTGGGACCTCTATCTGATTGAAAACATTTTCATACTCATTAAGGTTCCAAATTTCCACTTTTACTAAACAATGGAGTCCCATCATGGCTTTATTAGTACGTTGAGGTTTATCAGTAGTAGGGCTCTGCTAAATTTTTACTTTATATTACCCCCATGCACATATCACATACATACATAATATAGCATTGTCTGTATGGCAAGTTTTGTACCTGTAAAATGTGGAGAGGACAATTATCACTATTATTTTTCTTTTTTTTTTTTAATTTTTTCTATTTAAATTTACCTTTTCCAATCAATGGGTTTGGCTATAAACACGTTGCAGTAGATGTCTCTGCTGTTTTCTTCTTATGTTTATGTAAGTTTTGAATATAAAGTGCACAAATGTTATATTAACAGCTGTAAAAATGTATACACTGCACTGTTGTTGATCAAAACTAATTAAAAATTAAGTTCTACTAAAACAGAAAAATATTTTAGTGCACTGTTTGGCTGTAATTTGAGAATTTGTGAACTAAAAGTGGGCGCCATGTTGTTTTTGTATTGTAAAAACAGAGGCTGAAAATACTGAGATCATTCATTAGTGCTGATATGAACCAAGATTCTGTTACTGTGTTGCCTATTACTCAGCTAAAATGTTCCCAGAAACATATTTTAGCTCACTGTTTTACTGAATAAATATTGTTTCCTGTGAAAAAACGGATAAGCTCGCATTATGCCACCCTACAGTAGGAGCATGTGCAGTGCTGCACAGTGCATCCTAGTTGTTGTAGGTTTTATAACTGGAGCAAAAGAGAATACCACAGCCCTTTTCTATGTTTCCTCCAGTTATGTAGCACCAATGTCAAAAGTATTTGCATATTTCTACTGCACAGTTTTATGTAAATCTTTCCAGCAATGAAATAATTCTTTAACAGTTACTAACACACCAGAGTTACAGTATTTTTATGAATGGTTGTGCATGGCTGTGAATACAAACAGTACATCTCATTCTCATAAACTTTTAGGAAGTGAGAACCATTCTAAAATTGTCCATGATAATAAACTCAGTCTACAATGCACTAAAGCTTCACACTATAAGCTACATTAACATTTATATAGTGTGTTGATGGATCAATACATTTAGGCTGTGAATTGCATTGACTGTGCCATGTTCCAGTCTGTAATGTCTAAATTAAAGTAGTGTTTACTGTGAAGCTCTCACTCTCCTTCACGCCTATCTAAAGATTAGGGGCACTGCACTGTGCACTGACACTGGATTTGAGCACCGTTCAGCTGATAAGAATGCAGGATGCTGCTGAATGGCACAGCTTCACGCCAGAGCTGCTTTAAGCATCGCTTTAGTTCCCACTTTCTCACACTGGGTCTTTCTTCCAGATTGCTTCACAGAATACACTGTGCATTTAGAAGTCAGAATAACAGTGATATGTGTACGTGTGTGTGTGTAGCTTATACCTAGCTCATTGAAGCCACTGTAACCGAGCTCCTGTCGGCTGAGGCCCAGCTCCTCCAGGTCCACGCATTTGAAGCCATGAGGACACTGGTAGCCCTCCCCATCAGGGGAACAATGGGTGTCTGGGATGGCCAAGCTGTTCCATGTCACATTACTGACCAAAAGAGAGATAAAAACACTTATTAAATCATATATATGCAGCGTGTTGAACACAGAATGAATTAAAGAAGACAGATTTTGTGTTTCTTAAAGGTATACTATTCAGAATTTTCCTGACAACCTCTTGTTGAAAAGTTACAAAACAGTCCATTACGTGGCTCACAAGAATATCCACACCCTTGGTCAATATCTTTCAATAGTATGTAAGGGTGCTTTCAGACCTAGAGTTGTCTTGCTTTGGTCTGAATCAGGGACTAATCTTGTTCCAAAGTTGTATAATTGCCTAGAGTTGGTTCGTGTTCTCACAGCAGCATTTACAAGCGGACCAAATAAGATGCCTTGCGAGAGAAAGCTGCTCTTGATTGGTCAGAATTTCCATGTGGGAAAAATCCAGGAAGTAAAGCAAACGTTGAAGAAGAGTTCACTTGCAAGATAAATGTGACACTTTCTAATGTCACAATGGAGGGACAACTACGCAGGTTGATATTAGCGCTGCTCATCGTGGACTATATTGCTGTCATTGTTCATTTTAGTCAAACCATACAGTTTGAAAACGAGGCGCGGCTCCAACTAGAAAACAATGTTTTGATGCATTGGATGTGCTGAATGTGCATATTAAGGCAGTACAGGAGGAGGTGCACATTAATAATCCTCCAGGACTGTAACATGTTCATGTTTAACCCAAACAATGTGTCATGTGACTGCAGTTGGTTCAGATCCAGGTCGGAACACGTTCACTACAAACGAACCGCACCAGAGTTTGTTTGTAACCGGACTGAGACCACCTCTTCAAGAAGGTCTCAGTCTGGTTGTTTTGGTGCGCACCTGAGTGTGATTGCTGTGTTCACACCTGCCCAATGAATGTGTGTTTTTTACAAACTTAACATATTTGCAGGTCACTTGCTGTCCATTCTGAATGGACCCGCGACCCACTTTTGGACTGCAACACACCAGTAATGAATGACTGCCCTAGGGTATCAATGGTGATATTAAATGACTATAATCATTTTAGGATTTAAGGTAATATTGTGCTTTGTAATAAATTCAGAAAGTTTATGGTTAAGGTTACACATTTATGGCCAGTTACAAATTTAAAATAAGCATGAGAAGAAAACTGCCTGTTTGCACACACACACATGCAGGGTCTCATTCATGAAATGTGAGCAGAAGGAATTTGTGTGTAAACTGTTCGCAGACGGAAAATTTAAGTGCGTGTCCGCATTCATCAATATTTTAGTAGCTCCGATCTTTTCGTAGCTACTAACAAAATCTACTCCTGCTCGTGACCACGCGCTTGTGTAAATTTAGTAAAGCACATAAATATTGCTTGTCACTATTGGAAATTACAATTTTAACTCGTATTGCGCTCTGTTATGCACACAATACACAGATGCCTTTGAAACACGTAATCTAAACATGACAAAATATTAAAAATATAACACATTTAGTTAAATTAGTTGGCAATTAGCAGGTTTAAGATCCAGATTAGGTTCATGATTGTGAATTATCTATGTAAATCGACTCAGTAGATTACACGTTCTTTCAACATGTTGAATGATGATAATAAAAATATCCGTAAGGACAGCCGGATCACAGCCTCTTCGGCCTCGGTGCCTGGGTTCAGCAGGGGGAGCTGAAAGAATTATTTGAGACAACACGTGTTTTTGTTTTGTTTTGTTTTTTTGTGGCTTTTTGATCATTTGAATGAATAAATCTGATTTGAAAATGTTTAATTTACTTTGTATAAAACAGAGCTTTAGGCTATTAAGGTTCAAATAATTTGAAGACGATGCATACAAAACTGCTGTAGGCTTATGATGATGATAACTGATGTTATCCATATCATTTGTTAAAATAAATGTTAAATACAGTAGCTCTACATTCCGACAGCCATCACTGATTTAGAGTTTATCCGTTAAGCACAACACATCTCTGGTTTCCGGTTCACACTTCATTCAAAACCCCACAAATGAATCTTCTGTTTGTTTGGTGACCACTACGCTATCAATGATGATTTTCAGAATGTATTAGGCTTGTCGCTGTCTCCGTCAGGAATAATTCCTGACAGAGAGGTCTCCCTGACAGAGAGGTCTCCCCAATTATGCCAGCGATGCACTCGTCTGCAGCAGATAGTTGTGACTGTGAGCCTCCTCCTCCTGTGGCTGCTGTATTTTTTGTGTGTGTGTGTGCTTATGCGTTTCTTTGCCTCTAGTTTCATATCAAACCATTTACGCTTCACCTCTGACATGGTTCTTTGTATGACGGAGACAACATTAACAGCATCTGTTACCTCCCTCCAGGCCTTCGCTTTGCCTGTCCCTGTCACACCACTACTAACTGAAGAAAATAAAATGTTTTTTCTTAAGTCCGCTTCACCCAAAATTATTTCAATCTCCGCTTTGGAAAAATTCTTTTTTCTTTCTCTTTCTTTCTTTATGACTGTCAGGTCGATAGGATGCACCTACACCTCCTTATATGGTGGTCATTGGCTATTCATGGGCGGGGATTTATGCTAATTACTGATTACCGGGAGCGCGCTGTCACTTTACGATGGATTGGCATTCATGATCATACACACGTGTTTACAATCAAATCTGAGTTTCCCCTCAGCGTTCCTGAATCCAGAGTAGGTTTTTAGTAGCGTAGGCTTTTATGTGCAAATCTACACACAGATTTACTCACTTTTCATGAATGAGACCCGCAGAGTGCAAACACACACCTCCTCCCTCCTCCCCTGTCTCCCTGTCTTTTAGCCACAGGTGTTATTCCAGGAGCTGCTTGATTTCTCTAATGAAAATTAATGCCTTCAAATTGGCTGCCCAGACATTCATCCAAATTGTTTATTAAGGGGTACAGGATCAGAGGGGATAATTTATTGCACTATCACAAAGGGCAATCAGAGGCATAGTGATGAATCCGATAGCGCTTATTATGCCGGGCTGCATAAAACCACTGTATCTTATCGGATAAATTGCTTTTTTTTGATGAAAAGAGGAGATAAATGAGAGACCAAATGTCCAGTAATAACGTGATATTAATATGTTGGTGAGTCAAATGGAAAACAAGCCATATGATTGTCTGTTTTTTTAATCTGTTATTGGATCAAACCAAAATTAATTTGTGGTGCTTTGCATAATTGAAAATGTGATGTCCTGTCAACAACCTCTGTCAACCTCCTTGGCTGACAACCACTGCTTGTTGACACATCATCCACTGTCCACTAATTTAGGATATGAATATACTAGCAATACTTTTTTCCTAAGTTCTCCATCCAATTTGGGAACGAAACAATATCAGTAAACATGTTTTTGCATCACTTCATTCTCAGAAAAGAGATATGTTTATGCTCTCTAAAACATTGTTCACATTAATCAGTTCAAAACTTCGAATCAAGACTTTTCTATTTAGAATAAGCCTTAAAGAAATCTACAAAACTCTAATGTCTGGTTCAGTGGATCTAAATCACACTGAACAAAATATTATTCATTCCATGGAGTTACATAGTGATGAGGTCAATTGCAGAAATCCTGACATCCAGAAGAGGCGTCCACACTTCGCTCACAAATCCAAAACCCTCGCCATCTAATATCCGTATCAGAAAATGTCTCCCCTGCTATTTTTCCCAATTCCCATCAAATCCCTTGTGTGCGAAAAGCTCGGGTGCTCTGACTTTGTGCCAAGGGCATATGGCAGATAGAGATTAGACACATCAGTCCTTGTGTGACATATTTCTAAAATACCCCATTAGGAGCATATAGACGTGAGGGATTTAGGGAAAGGAGCAGAGCAGCAAACAAATTAGATGGGCAGCTGCCACGCCACTTTTGGAACGCTGTTACAGAGAGATGTCAGAGCTATAAATGTGACAATGTCGTGTCCTAACTCCGCCGCTGCTAATGGTCAATGCATGCGGTGTCCTTAGGGGGCTCTGGCACACGATCAGTAAGGGGAGATAGATGGGGAGCTGATGAGCAGGAATGAGCACAGTGTAAGGGCTGGACAATGTAGGAAATTTTAATTATTATAATTAGTGTTAGCTCTCCCTGCAGCCTGGGGCTTTAAATATGATGCTTGCTTCCCCCGTCTTTTGTCTCCACAGGGATTAATATTCTCTGTATCATATCATCAGTCTCAACAGGATGGAAATTCTTCACAAGTGTGTTTAAATACATGTTGACTTATTTTATTTTTTTACAGTAATGTGCACACACATATTCACACATCTCCCCCAGTGCTGACACCAAGGGGTTCCTACAGAACTTCAACATTATGATACTGGTCATTTCACTTTAATTAGAATTTTTTAAAGACCATTAAAGAGTAGGGCTGTTGAATTAAAGTTCACTGAATATTTTAATTAAATATTTAACTTTTTTTTTTTGTTCTTTCCCTTTAGGGTCTGTGATCTGTTTGTATCCATCTCTGCTTTTTTTATATAATTTTCTTTATTATATTTATATNTTTTTATTTTTCTAATTTTGTCCCAAAATGCCTTTTTTTTATCGAAGAACATGACTATATGATGGCAGCATGGTGACGCAGTGGCAGTACTCTCACCTCACAGCAAGAGAGTTCCTGGTTCGAACCCAGGGTGGGGAAGCCCTTTTGAGCAGCGTTTGCATGTTCTCCCCGTGTCATCATGGGTTTTCTCAGGGTACTCCGGCTTCCTCCCACAGTCCAAAGACACGCAGGTTAATTGGTGACTCTACATTGCCAACAGATGAGTTGTCTATCTCTATGTAAACCCAGCTCTCACCTGATGTCAGCTGGAATAGGCTCCAGCCCCCCTGCGACCCCTAACATGATAAGTGGTTATGGAAAATGAATGAATGACTATATGTCCCACCTTCCACAAGTTGCTGTGTTTCCTGCTGTAGGAATATGCTGATCACCAATGTCCAAAGTCAATAAAGCATTCAAGTGTTGAGCTTCTACCTATGTTCCGTCTTCATTGCTGTAATTCATTTAAAATAAAACAAGCTCCTAAGATTTGGACATGGAAAGAAATTTGTTTGGAAGTGTTGCGCCATTAAAAAAAAGCCAATTTAATGTGCGAGACTACTGCTCAGACAGTCACACCAAACTGATCACAAAAGATGAGATGCTGTCAGGATCTGTCAGACTCAGCTCAGCAGGTGACAGCTACTGACGGATCAGGCTGACCCATCATTGGTTCGCTCTGTGGTAATTCATTAAAGCAGGATGTCACAATGTGGCGTAAGCAGCACACAAGTTTTTATTTACCACGCTGTATGAACTTTCAATTATCATCGACTCTGCAACTGAGGTTTCACACTAAGTGTACTAACAAAGCATCGTGCAGTGGAAGGAAATTGTTTTCAAAGGAAGACACAGTTGCAATCCTGTTAACAGTTGGTCCACAAAAAGCAGAGTGTAATGCGTCAAGCACCGGACTGACATAGGTTTGACGTTAGATATTCCCCATCAAGTCTTTTCTTTTATTATCAATACGTATAATATTCATTCTCCTAACATGCTTATTTAAAAACAGGACCAAGTTCTATCTCCGTTAGAAACTTTGATAAATCCCGGTGCTGTAAACAACACACCAGTAAAGAGATTATTCATGAAATAGATTTAGTTAAAGCAGTTGTTGCAGAATGATGTGGATTTTAACTGTCATGAAACAAAAATAACTTAGGTATAGCAGTGACAGGCCAATAAAAGCACAACTGTACACTTTCTATTTAAGCTGAAACAAACGGTTGTGTGATATGAAAAGGTAAGCAATGAAATGGAAACAGTAAAGCCCAAAAGTATATATAATACAGTGCAATATAAATTTTATATGGAATATGGGAGCTGGGTATAATGCATTCAATACAAACGGAGTGTGTCTCTTTAAAGTGTTAAATCTTTTAATGAGACATCTAGATTGTGCTGAGCCCTGTTTCACAGACTGTAAAACAAGCTACTGTACCACCTCTGCAAAGCATCTTCCAAAACTCACAAGTAACACGCGAGTGGTCTCCTAACGATCTTGATAGAGGATCACGATGAAATTTATGTTGATAACGACAATGAGCTTTGGACACTTTTACCCGATATAGCTAGATCTGACAGACTGTCACACAGCAGAAATAAACCCAACCACAGCCAGTCAGTGTGCTGCCTCTCTTACTGTATATGCCACAGTGCTTAAGATGAACTTACATTATCCCCTAATGCTGAGGAAATTACTGACAAAAAGGCAACACAACATCAATTACATGGATGTGGTTTGGGTATTTCAAAGTGACGAAGTGCAGATTAAGACGGTCTGCAAACATGATGTCACTCGGTGCCAATCAAGTGCCAACAAATCTTTTCTATCACCTGAAGAATGAGCATCCTGGCAAGCTAACTTGTATTGTTTTGTTAAGGCAGATGAAGCCTGTTTGCTAAGTTAAAGGGAAACTTCTAGTTTTTTTAACCTGGACACTATTTTCCCATGTTTTTGTGTCTAAGTGACTAATGGAGACAACAGTTTTCTTAAAATTAGTCCAGTATAAACAGACACCTCAGCAGCTGCAGTGGTGAAACAGGCTGCATGTAATCCTGACAGGCAATTGTGCACCGTCAAGTTACGTCCACTAAAAGTGCTGTTTTTGCCACTGACATGCTCCGATTGTTATTATAAGTGTCTGACAACATTACATAAAGGACCCTACAGAGATATGAAATGTTTTCCTATACCTTTCGGTTGTCTGTTTGTAATTGTGACAGAGTCTCGCTCAAGACAAAGTATCGTTCTGAAATCTCATGAGAGGAAACTTGTTGCAGGAAAAACAACAGTGGAAATGTTAGGGGGCCGAACACATGCCGCGTTTTTTGCGCCACAAATTCATTGTTTTTATCGTAGGCATGCGGTAGGCACACTCAAATGCCAGAGCGATGCCATCTTGGCGCGCACACGTTCCTGAGTGCTCATTTTTCAGTGTGCAACGGCTGCGCCCTAAGACAAACACAGTTCCATTTTTGGAATGCAGCAGTGCGCAAGGACCAACCAATCAAAGCCAACAGATATCTTTCCTTTCATTCGTTAATATCAGTCTGGGATAAATATGCCAATCAGTTCATTTTAGTGCAGGGCTGCCAGAGCTTTTCATCTGCCCCACGGACAATAGGCCTACACAAAAACAGTGCCTAGACGAAGCTTTGCACTCAGGATTTCAGGTAAATAGGCTATGCTTGTTAAGGTTGCTTACAAACTCAGGCACAACCTGGTGCCATGCTCTTGAAAGCCGGCACAGAAAAGGCACAAGACTGGCACCCAACGCCTGACCTCGTGTTTTCCAGGCAGTAAAAGACGCAGCATGTGTACAGCCTCCTTTCGAGAGTAGAGCAGCTTAGTGTTATCTAAAAAATGTTCCATGTAATGGCTGAACATTTATCTGATTCGACAATGTAGAAAGAGGTTTCAAAACAAGACTTCTCCTTAAGTAACACTTGGTTACACACCTACCAAACACACCGTATCAGCAAAAGGTAAGAAAAAATGTTTCATTTTACTGTAAGTTCTTTTCCATAATGACACTTAAAATAACAATCTGAGCCTGTCAGTGGCAAAAACAAGCACTTTAAGCAGATGTAAATTGACAATTCACAGTTGCCCACTGGGATTATACTGCAGCCTTTTTCACCACTGCAGCTGGAGCAGTCTCGTTCAACGCTGGATGAAAAAATCGTTGTCTCCATTTGTCACTTAGATACAAAAACATGTGAAAATAAGGGTCAGTTAAAAAAAACACAGTTTCCCTTTAAATGTTACATTTTTTTATCACAGAATATATTGCAAACCAAGCCATGGTCGCACAGTTACATGTGTATGTCATTCTATTTTATATGTTAATAAACTCTCATTTAAACTTTGACAAATTATCCCACAGGCTCTAGTCATTATTAGGATCCTCTTCAAACAGTTATATTTTTGCCATATCGAGCAGCAGTACTTGAGAGCACAACGCCTGCAGGAACAACTCATCAACACTGATGAGAGACACTACAGTTTATTATGTGTGTTTAAGTAGCTGTATTCATAGGCTATTTATGTCGCAATCAAATTTACTTACTGGAGAATTACTGTTGCTTCTATAGTCTGTTATGCAAAGATTAAATGTCTGGCTGGATGCATTCAGGCTCATGTACATCTGCACCTAAGGAGTGTAACAATGGTGCTTTGTTTTGATGTTTGCACTTAGTGTTGGCCCCAGTCAGTATACTGTAATAAGAGAAACACTCAATGTACAGTATATATCTTCTAGCTTCTTAAAACTACTTCATTAACCATTATCGCCTCAGTAAACATAAAATGTATCACCTCGATTAAAGCAACACAGCCTCTGTCACAGGTATTTAAAGGTGTTCATTAAAGGAGCTATATGTAAGAAATCTAAAGCAAATAGTCGTAAAATCCTCCTAATATGTCACAGAGACTAAGGAATAATGTTCATATAACATACTGATCTCACAGACAACAACAGTACAGCCAGAATATTCGCATTAAAAAAAAAAATTACGGTCTGCAAATCATGTTTATGTGTTTTGGCCTGTTGCGCCACCCACAGCCGTCTACCAGTCACGCAGTCAGTAGAGTCTCAGTATCAGTTACCGTTACGACTGACCTACAATGGCTGACGGTGCGACTAAACACAAACGACCTCGTTATGATTCCCAAAAACGCCAAGACAAAACTCAAAGTTGGCGAACTAGCATCATAGCTAGACGGGGATAGACATTTCGAATACTTTCAACTGTTATTCATTTTCGATCATATATTGTAGCCCATGTGCAGGTGGGTCATCGACCCTACTGATGTTTTTGAGAAACAAACATTAGCAGCACGGCAAGCAGCATTAGCAGTGTCCCGGTACATAGCTTTAGCAGCCGGGTCCTCCTCCGCTGTATCCCGGCAGCAGCGTTAGCAGCAGAGAAGCCGGACTTGCTCAAACGGTCCGCTGGAAAACTGAAGATCAAGGACGCGGTGACGCGGCCTTGCCACGGCAGCCGCCCGTGGGCAAACAAATCACCCCCAATTTCCACCAGATGCGTGTTGGCCGGCAGCGGAGCCAATAGGATTCAGTTCTAGTTAATGTGTGTGTTTCCACCGGCTGCAGCTGTGCTGCGTTCCGGCTCTGTCTCAGCTGCAGCACTCCAGAGCCCTCCGCAACAGATATTGCCAGATGCCAGACGCCGGAGCACAACGCAGCAATTCAGCACAGAGCAGCAACCTGGAATCTGTAGGGAAGGGGGGGGGCGGACACGACTCGCGAGAGAGAGTGCAGTAACCGTTTTGGCCACATTCTTACATAGAGCGCCTTTAAAACACTAAATGATGAGTTTAGTGAAGTTGCCAAAGTCACACTTCTTCATTCTTGGTTCTTACCCTTTCTGTGTATCGTTAGTGACGCAGTGATGGTTGAAGGTCCCGAACATCTGAACACCCAGGATTCCATAGAGCAGGAGAAAAAACAGCAAGAAGATGGAGACACTCCAGATCTGTTCTCCAGATCGCCTGCAAAGCACAAGAGTAAAGAAAGGCATATTTTGTGTGTATTTTGTTTATGTACGACTATCCATTTAATTGTGGAGAAAACAGTGACAGAAGACAGTTTCCTACTTCAGTATGTTAGTGATGCGGGAGCGAGGAAGCTCGAAGCGGAAGTAGATCCTGAAGGCCCGGATCATAATGAGCGCTCGGGGGATTCTCAGCATTCCCCATGGAGACATCTGATCCACAAGCTCTGCTATTTCAAACACCTAAAACAACGAGAAATTGATTATTATTAGGCAAAAAAAAACAGCTACCACAATTAATTGCCTCACGTCAAGCTGTACAAGCACTTGCAGGAAAAAAATGGCAATAATTGTAAATGCTGCAACGTACCTGCAGCACCAGGGACACCCAGATGAAAAACACCATGAAGCCATCAAACATACACCAGCGATCCTTCACATAGGAGTTTTCCCCCTGTGCGGAGAGACACGGAGAAAGAGCGGATGTCAATGAAAGGCAAAAACACGAGAGAGTAATTGGAAGAGCAAAAAATATGAACATGAATAAACAAACATCGTCATTATCCAAGGCCATACTTTTCATGAAAGCTGATGTATTCTAACAACTACAAGACATCCTGTGATGTTTTGAGGCTTTAATAATGCCAGTCTTTATGGTTCTGAAAATTGCCCATATCAAGTGCCAACCGTCACCTTCTGAAAATCTGACGGAGAAAGCTTTTATTGTGATAGAAAGCCTTTGTGTTGAAAAAGTAATGGAAAGAAACAAACAAACACAAAAATGAAAGTGCCTGTTTTGACGGACTGACCACGATATTCAAACAGCCTTGTTTTCGACATGATAAGACAAAAAATGATTAAGCCCCTGAAGTGTGAACGAACTGAAATGTCATGGGGCCAGCAAAAACGGGCATACTTAATTACCACTTACAGAGAGACAGAGCCTGTAAGAAGCTCTTAGGGGGGTCAGGCTTGTACAGGAAGAAAGGCTGCAAATAGGAGGGTGTGTTCGGAGACACTTCACAGATAAGACCATGTTTGATTACACACTGACAAGCATAAAAGCATGCAATTACTTTATCACGCTGTGTGGATCGTTTGTTTTGTGCCGGCACTTTCATCAGCTAGCTGCAAAATACAACTTCCAAGTGTCAATCAATAAGGTTATAGACGTGTGGAATAAATTTAGAAATCCAAATGTGTGATTCATCATTTGTACAAGTTGGATTTTACTTGACAGGCACAGAAAATAAGCGAGACAAAAATACCTTCCCATTTTACAGATACAGATGTTTTTTTTATCTGCTTTTAAGAACTACAAAGGGAAAATAAGAGAAAGAAGAAGAAGGAGGAATGTTCCAGTTTTGATGCTGTTTTCCTGCACTGGTGATTCTTATTCTCTGTCCTCCGGTGCCTCCCTGCTTGTTATCCTTGATTTGCCAATTAAGCTGTCCACACTTTTTATGGCAGTAATTATGGGCCTTTCATCTGCCAGCTGTCTGTTCCTGGACACTTCTATAGAACATTATCTGTCTACCTCCGATTTGAATTGTGTTGATTCATCTGAATTTGCAGCTCAATGCGACTAGTAAAGGCGTGACTGCAACTCTGATGCAACACAAAAAGCTGATGGACCAACATGTGGTCAGTCAGGTCTCTAATTGTTTGTGGCTGTTACCTTCATCCTACTACATTCAGCAAGAACTGGCAAAGCAGGCTAAACTGAAAATGAGTACTTTAGTGCTTTATTGTTTGACTGGTAACAGGAGTTTCGCCTCCACTCTCTTCTGGTGATAGTAGGGGAAGGGGAAAAAAATCAATACAGCATAGTATCACAATATTTTTGTGTGGCAATATTGTATCGTTACATGGATGTCAAGTGTCCTATCATTAAATTATTAATAATACAAATACAAATTCAACCTTTTGTATCATATTACAATAATAAAATCAGTTGCTTTTTCAGTTTACTAGATACATATTGGTGCAATAAAAATGACTGAAGTAACATTAAAAGACTAAAAACTTCATCTTATTAGATAAAACCCTTGATGTTTACAAAGTTTTCCTTTGCAGTTGATAAAAGATAACATCTCACAAAATATTGCAATGTATTGCAATACTCATATCGCAACATGTTTAAAATCGTGAAAAAAATACTGTATCGTGACTTGTGTATCGTGATAATATCGTATCGTGGGGCCTCTGGTGATTCCCACCCCTAGGTGAAATGACCATACATAGTTTTTCTCGCATTTTTCTTGTGAACGAAGAATCCAAAAACAAAGAATTCTTAATGAATTGAAGTCATAGGGGTCCGCGTTTTAGTTTACAAACTCTCACACAACTCGTGAAATATAATCCAAGGCTCATTTGTCCAGTCATATGCTCAGTGTTTCCCAAACAGACAGCTCTTTCTGACCAGAAAGTGAAACTTTCCCTGTGCTCTCTTCAGTGCCAGACTCCATTGACAAAAACAGTAATGTTACCTCACTGAACACAGGAGCTGCTGCTACCGCTGCCTTGATCTGTAGTGTGTTGCATTATTGTGTGACTTTCTTGAACTGGATTAACCCTTTAAAACACCAGAGTCACACAATGACACAAACAAACAAACGTATTAAGGCAGTGATAGACCAGCAGCTCCTGTGTTCTGTGAGGTAAAATCAGTTTTTGGTAATGGAGCCTGGCTTTGAAGAGAGGACACTGGTTTTAAATTCTTAGTTCCCTGTAGGAAAGGGCCAGACGCGTCACGTCAATAGAAACCGAGGGGGCACGTGCCCCCTCAGATTTGAGAGATGATTTTTTTTTTTTTCAACCAATTTTATTTTACTTACTTTACCTTACTTATTATTTTACCATCTAGCTATGATCAGTGGTCATACTGAGTGAAATGTATTCTAAATAATCTCCTTCATCTCAGGCCCATTTAGTGGCCGTAACTTGCATAAAATGCATAAATGGTAATTTACGCATTATTTATTAGGATTTAGGGAAGATTTCCTGTTAGTAGTGATCACACACGGCAACAGAGCAACCATCTTGATAATAAACGATCTTTGGCCGATCATTGGATTTTAGCCACCCGGGTCTCCCATTGGACAGCCGATCTTACCGGCTTGACATCTAGGCTTCCGGGTAAGCTATAAACACACAGATGGGATCGATGTAAAGGCTGAAGTGTCCTGCTTTCATTAAAAAAAGAATTACGTCGCTCTTATTTTCCGTTCCGGAAATAGACACGAAAGAGTACGACTATACCCCCCCGCCGGTATCGCCGGCGATGACGGCAATCTAACCTAAGGGTTAACGTTAGCCTATAATGTCTGGACTGTAACGTTTGCCTACCTAGGGAGTATCCATGGAAGTGTCAGAAAAACTTGGGACGGGATTTATTTTGGTGTATCTGTGTTTCAGCGTTATGCCGCCTAACAAGATGGGTGAGTGTGTATGATTGTGTCCTTTTTTATTGCCTTGGCACGCCGTTGCCAATAACATTGGCTATCTTTATCTACGTCACGTTACGTTTTGCTGTCAGTAGTGGGAACTTGCCTGGGTTCACGTTTGTGTGTATTAATGTTAGTGTGTAGCCAAATATTTTATGCAATACAATAAGCTTAGCTATGTTTGCAATATTTTCCTAGCTGCTAGGGTTTGTTTGAGAAAAATTCCTTTCCTCCTTACACAAAATAGTTTACATGGCAAGGTGTAGATGCGTTAAGTGTGTGTGTGTGTGTGTGTGTGTGTGTGTCTGGACGGGGGGGTCGGCTTTGAGTTTGGGCCATATCCAACCTCAAGGCTTTGTGCAGCAGGGGCCCAAAATAAGTGATTTGAGGGCATCCCCCAAAAAAACTTGTGCGCGCGCATAGCGCACAAACCCAATCCACTGTGCCCCCTCACATTTTGGGGTTGCATGACGCCCCTGGAAAGGGCTGTGTGTGCGGGAAGTACTGAGCGCATGACTGGATAAATAAGACTTGGATTATACTGTGTGAGTTGTGTGAGAGTTTGTAAACAGATGTTTTGATATAGTTCCGCTGTTGTTAAACGGAGTTGCCTATTTCTTCATTTCATCAAGACCTTTCTCCATTTTTGGATTCTTTGTCCATCAAAAAAAGTTTTCCCCACAAATTTAATGTAACACAACGCAAGTAATGGATACACAAATGGTCATTTGGGGAGTGAAGTATTCCTTTAAGCTAACCAGCTCAATGCCCTATAACATTTCTATGAAGTTTCATCTGAATTTGTTAAGGTAAGGTAAGGTAAGGTATGGTTTGGTAAGGTAAGGTAAGGTAAGTGGTTACTGTCCGTGACTGGCCATTTGAGATACAGACAGTAGTCATGAGTACATGAGTCATGAGAGTGCAATACATAACACGCATATACAGTATCACACAGTGTTAGGGATAAATCATGGACATTAATGGTCACTGCCGGATAAGATAAGCAATTGCAGACATCACAAAGGACGATCTATAACGCTTTGTGCTGCATTTAGGAAGGCAAAGTCTCCGCCCTGATAGAAGCATCTGAAACTCAACATGGAGGGGATGTTGAAAGTCTCAGACATCAGGTTATTAAAAGTAACACCAGCGCTAACACACAAATACAAGTGCATCCAGTAACCATGTGACTCTGTCAGTAGCTACCTTGATGATTCCTCTGATGTGCATCTTGGCGATCATCTCGGCGGTGTAGAGGAACATGAGCAGCGTGTCCAGCGTGAACGTCACATACTGCAACGGAGGGTAATGCTCGAATGTCTTGGGGGTGTTCATACACACGGAGATGACACTGATGATGGCACAGGCCCGCAGCAGGGAGTGCACCCACTGAAGGAAGACAACAAAAGGAGAAATAAAATATCTGGTATGATAGACCACAGATAACATTGTGATAGGCTGACCCCACCACCAGTACACTCACTGGTTTGTTGATCCAGAAGATGTCGGCGCTGTCCGTGAGGGTCTCATCCGGCCCAAAGTCGGTCATGGGCTGGGCCTCGACCCGTGAGCTCTGTTTCCTCTTTAGCATGCTGGGGCTTGCCGTGCTATACAGAGAGTGGATCTGACAGAGAGAGGGAGGCGAACCAAACAGTGAACAAAGCTAAATGAGGAACAGGAGAACACGCTGGCTGCATCCAAGTCTGGGCAGTGGCAGTACCTTCTCTTGTAGCTCCAATAATGTGGATTATAATCTAAATTGATTAATTTTAAGTGTACTTAATGCAGCCCAGAGGCACTTGGCTTGGCATAGATGGCCACATTAACAGTAACGGACTATAAAAATACCAGTGCACCTCTTCAAAGATGAGAAACTGGACAAAGCTTGGGTTAACCGTATATTTAAATATAGCATTAATGTTTCTAATAAGCTGTGTATCAATAGTGGCTTCTATGTCATTACATGTAGCATTAGGTTTAGTTTACTGTGATGTATATTCAGCAAAATAAACCACCCTGACTTGAATTGCCAGAACAGAGGTGTACTTTAAAATTAAACATGTGTTGCATTGTTGAATGGCCACCGTGATACACAACGCAGCACACATGGAACACAGGGACGAGTGTATTCACATTGGAACAGCTCCAGTAACTTACCATTTGGAAAGATCATACATGATCTTCATTGTACTGAACACCAAGGCGCCAGTAGATTAAGCTGCTCAACCTACTGTACAGTGTGAGGACTTGTGCGTTGGTGTTACCTGCCCATGTCCGTGTTAGTGTATGTTTGTGTGTGTATGCAGGAAAAGAAAAAGTGTACAGGCCGTTTCAACATAAGAACACAAGAAGAAATGACACTCTGAATGGAGACAAAGCGCACATACCAAAGGGAAAAGTAAAGCTGAAATTGCTCCAGCACTGCACATAACATGCGATCAGGCATACCCTGTAAATAACACACAACAGTTAGTCAACATCATGGCTTATATGGTGTACAGTACACTACCCACATCTACAGTACGCTCATAGAGACAGGAATGCCCACCACGTCTGACATCAAGGCATATATGCGACACACTCTGTGAGTGAGTGAGTGACTGACTGAGGTGTTGTGGAAGAAGAGGATGGGGTGGAGGAGGGACCAGGGGGACTCACTGTGAGGCTCCTCATTGGTGCGTTCATCCCCAGGTCACAGAGGGGTGGAGAGACCAACCAGAGAGAGAGACTAGAGGTGCAAAAAGGAGAATGTCCTAAAGGCCTGGAGGTCCTGTGGCAGCAGTCAGTGAATGGTAGCAGTCATAAGAGCAGTAAAGAGGGGTGAGAGAACATATTCACAAGTGCTGCAAGGTGCAGCTACAGCACATGATCTATGCAATTCATTTGGTCCACCCAACTTACACAACAACAGTTTCTCTAACATCCAATAACATGTAGCCAGGCTGATAGTTTTGGTTAGAGATGTTCTGATACCATTTTTCCTTCCAGATAACAATTCCTGATCCCAATATACATACAGACAATGAATGACATACAACTTTCTTTAATCATTTAAGCGACCCTTCCCTAAGTCCCGCCCCCAGACACAAACTGCTCAGATCAGGGTCTAACTAGCCTCGCGTCACCAGGCTCTTCACGTACGGCGAAAAGCCTGGTTTCCATTCACTCTCAATTTTGTCTGGATTCTGGTTCCGGTCTACAGAGCGGGTATGGAATTCACCAAATTCACCAAATTAAAAGTGTTCACCAAAGTAAAACTTTAAATTCTGGTGCACCATCGATTTACAATAAAAAGAAAAAGGTTAACTTAATGGCTTGGGGCTTTTCTTGTAAATTATAATTTTTAAATTATTATATAAATTAAAAAATTTCACCGCATTTTTATGAGCTTGGTGCTTTTATTTTGACGGAAAGGCGCATCCATCGAATTCCGGATCCTGTCTCTCTGGCCCTGGTTCTGGTTCCTTACCAAAACGGCCACTAAATGGCCCCAGACTAGGTCTGACAACAGCACAGCTGTGCTCCACTGACTCTAATGCAGTCCCTTCAGATTTCCTTCATTTTCAGGCTGGTTTTGTGGATTTGGAGCTAAATGTTGTGCCTGGGGCACGTTGTGTATTAATGATACTTGTTACCTGGAGAGGTTGGAAAAAGATATACGTTTCTTCCCTGTTCCAAAACCAAAATCAAACCCTGAAAAGTGTAGGGTTAGCTAGCTAGCTACTGAAGATATAACCTACTGAATGTATACACATGCTGCTTTTGCTTTTTAATGACAATAACAGTGAGACAAAGATCGACCCTGCTGTACAGGAACCAGTGAAGGGATGCAGGGAAACTTTGCTGATATTCAACCAGCTGTGTGGCATCACATGCAGTCATGAAAGTTAAAAAACCTTAGGAATAGATAACAGCTCCTTTTAAAGACGTATATTGGAGCCGCAATTTCACAGGAAGCAACACTAGAGCCATCCCTTCGAAAGCTAAGGCCTTGCATACTGTACATGTTGCCTTTTTACCCATAGGAGTCTGTATCGACATTCTGCTGACAGCTACTGTTTTAGAGCAGCAAAGAAGAAGAATTGATTTCTGTGAAAACGGCCATTTTATCTTAAAACTACTTTAAACTAGTTAGAATTTACATGGTATCTGGTTGGTGCATAGATTCACGTAGACGCCAAAGTCATTTCCAATACTGGTATGGGTATCAGAACAACTCTAGTTTTGGTTATAGGCTTATTTGTCCATCTCAATTCCATGCCTGTGGGGCTAGATTATCTGTATGACTGGACAGGAATGCAAGAGTGTTTTGCAATTTGGGTAGACCAATTCTTCAAGAAAAACAACCATGAAATATAATTCGATAATGTAAGATAGTGAAGGTATACCACTGGAAAGATGAAACAAAACAACAGATTCAGTTTGTAGACGTCATCGGCACAAAAAACATCAGAAAAAGAACAGACATCAGATTCCCAGATGAAATGCATCACTGCATCAGGAGCTCAAAGGTAAAGGTTTGTAATTTGTATGCGTTCACATTGAAAAAAAATATATATATAATAGTATAGTTGATTCTACCATCTCAATCAAACCTCAGATGACTTGAATAAATTCAATTTTGGACTTGTCCGTAACTGACTGAAATTCAACAAAGAAGTTTTTGTTAAAAAGTGACAAAACCTGAATGGTGCACAAACTTTGCACACTTTTTAAAAAGGATAAAGAGACTAAGAATCTAAGCACGAGAACAAAACACTTGAGGATGGGAACGCAGACCGAACAATGCAACTGTATCGCCCCTGTTTCCTTTTCTGCTCTTACCAAGAAAAGAATCTGTCCGTCCTATAAACCCCATGTAGTTAGAAGCAATTTCCCGGTGTAATTGCTACACTTAACATATGCAGATGGAGACGTGAAGAAGAGTGAAAACAAAATTACAGGGTCTAAGTGCTATTATGTGGGAGTATAGGTGGCAAAGACTGCAATTACTTTCCCATTTGGAGAGAGGACATGTTCCTCACGGGCAGGATGCGATCACTGGGCAGATTAATTGTAACTGTGAGTATCTGTTGAAGTCTGCAAACTTTCTTCGCTCAAGTTTTATTCTTGGAGACTGCACTCTGGCAGTGCGATCTTAATTACAACTGACAAGAAAAAGTTTGGTTGATGTGGGCAGCACGTTTGTACTGTTCTTTATTTCTCTGCCGTAGTCTTGAGTGGAGTTCAGGCATTTATGCAAATTTGTCACAAATAACGTAGGTGTTCAGGTTTATGGAGAGGATCAATACATTCCCAAGGTAACTGTGTACTCATGCAGCTCCTGAGGAGGTCAGCTGACACTGGGCAAAAGGTGGGGTATACCCTGGACATGTCGGCAGATTATCTCAGAGCTGAGATATAGAGACAGACCGACCTATGGGCAATTTAAAGTGTTATGTAAAAGGTGCACTCCTAGGGACAAACACAGAGAGAGTTATCACACAACTTCAACAGTTTCCCTCTACACTGTTGTTTTAGTGTCTTTATTGTTCATGCTCTCATTGACCTGTGTCCAGGAGCAGCAGGTAGATCGTTTCAGACAAAGCCCTCTGACTCTGTGAACCCACTGTGCACTACCTGCCCAGCACACAGACAAGTGAGCAACTAGCTGGTAAACGCAGTGAAGCATTTAATAGCCAAAGAGGTAAAGCAGCATATACTTCCTTCAGGGTTTGGTGTAGACCCAGACAGACCTACAATGAGAGTGAATATTGGGTTTATATTCATCAGGTGGCCAGATATACAGCGCCAAATGAATGCTAAAGTTGCCCAGGGCCTGCTTGATGTGTAAACAGGAAACTGTTTGCAATTTTACTGAGCGATAATATGTGTGTCAGTGCTGTGTTTACAGCAAACGTTGTTAGTCAGCTGGGTCAGCTGGTTTGTTGGTGCTGGGCAGGGAACATACAGTGGGTTTAAAAGCTTTTTGGCTCAAAGCACCAGCCTGCTGCATCTGAAAATGATGCTGATGAAAGCAATGAGAGTAAATAAACACAGTAAAATTGTGGGACATCAAACCGAAACAATAAGCTGAAAGATGCTACAATGTGCTATAAAGAGGGGCACCACAGTTAGGTGATACTTCTCAGTAAATCAGTACTATGAGCAACAACTTTCACATCAACGTTTAGGCATTTGATCCATTATAAACGCCAAAATATTAATTAGAGAAGCTGCAAAAGTATACATATTTAAATGTTGATATTGAGGTATTACAAGTGTTATTGTAGGTCAAACAGCCCCAGCTATTAATTAGAAACAAGATCCTCGCCACAATTACTAGCCTCCATCTGTGGTATAGCCAAATGCTTGTTTCATATATATATGACAAATGTTGTCATATAGCATTCTGTTTCCTGAATGTTAAAAGGTGGCCAGTTGGCAGTGTTGGTGTGGAGGATATACGCAGGTATACAGAGTATACCTATCTCTTTTTGTGGACGGTAAAAGTAAATCAGCCCATTGGAATACAGGGGAGCATATCCACTCCCTCCTATGTAACCTACCGTTACCCATCTACCTACATGTATTAGTACACCAACCTCATCAACTACCACTACACTACTGATTGTCAGTGCTGTCAGCAAATTTCATAGATATTTTCTCAATGAAAATGTAACTTCACAAGAATAGGCCTATTGTGGGGATACCTTGAAGAAAAATCCAAATCTATCTTGGTAAGGGACTGTTCATTATTTATGAAGGGTGGAAAGAGTGGTGCAAAAAGGGGTTGGCATGTTGAATAACTTTTTAGCGCTTGGGAGGAGGTTATGTTTTTCATTTTGGCTTAGGGCAGGGGCATACAAAAGTAAATGGCTGTATTTTATTTATTTTACCACTATTTTTTTAAAGAAAACAACCCTTTGGCATGTTTCCTTTTAAAGTCACCAGAATTACACCTTTTATCACAGCCATAAACTGTCACAACAGGAATTAATACTGGATTTTCACATTTCCGATGGTTATACACACTGTGTGGGACGCATGCTTTAGTTAGGAAAAAAACATAACCAAATTTAAGCTTAAAATGGTGATATTTCATCAAAATACGTCTCATTTACAATTAGGCCAAAAACAAATTGTTTGCGGTAACTAAACAGCATGAAGGACCAACACATTCTCACTCCAACCTCATCACATAATGACGTTTGGTCATGGACATGGTCCAGATAAGGTGTGCAAGGTACCCTGGGTGTGTTGGTTGTTGACATTCTGGGACACCGTGTCTGTTACGCATTGTCTTCTTTCAAAATACACTTCTGTTTTTACAGGAAATCTAACAGTTACATAAGTATCTTTCAAGATTAACGCACTGTTTGTACAAAACCGCAAATTGATTTATTTATTTTTTTCTTTAACAACAAACACAAATGGTTGGGTTTAGGCAACAAAAGCATGTGGTTAGGTTTAGGAAAAATGAACAGGGTTTGGCTTTAGAATCTTACAGGATGCGAACACTGCTCTCCTGGGTGAAATTCTGTGTTTGTTGGACCCAAATTGTTGGACTCAGACATTCGCCACCTTAACTTTCATTCATGTCTCACTGTGTTTCCCCCTGATGCCGTTGAGGGCCATTAAACTATAACAGCAACGGGCCACGTATCATGCTGATGTCAAAGGACAGTTTTATTCGTCAGCATCTGACACCGCAAGTCACCTCCCAAGCACCAGATTTCGACAACTTCAGAGTGAGACCGGGCTCAGAAAAGACAGGTGTATACTAGTCTTTTATCAAGTGGCGTGATTCGTAACTGCTGCACCTCTACATGTGGCACAGCACGTCATAATTGACTAACAACACTTAAGATTGACACTATGGAACCAAGGATTTCTTATTTGGCAGCTTAAGCTCCTCCGCTCTCCTGTTTCTTCCTATATCTCTCACATCCTTGCTGTGAGGTGCTAGGACACGAGGAAGGGATGAAAGTGAAGGAAGTCAGAAGCATAAGATGCATACTTGGGGTGACTTTGGCACCTTAACATTGGTTCTTGTCCCATCACTTTTCCCTTTGACGCCGCCAGGCACCATTAAACTATAACAGCAACCGTCCATGTATCATGCCAACGTAAAATGACACCTTTATTCGTTGGTGTCTGACACCGTAAATTACTGCCCAAATGCCGGATTTTGATGACTTCAGAGAGAGACCAGGTTGGCAGGACATGAGTGGAAAAACCTAGGCCTCGTTCAACTTCGGGATTTCGTCTTTTAAACATCAAAGTGTAAGTTTTAAAAATTGAATAACTAATTTATGGTGGAAGGACGATCATGTATTTTCATTTTCTGGGAGGCTGGAGGAAAATATTTGTAGCTTCAGGAAGGATCGAAATAAGAATAAAAGTCACACCTCAGCCACACCCCTCTTCTGATAAGTAAAGAACAGTCCCTAATATTGTTAAAAACTAGAGCTGGGACAGTTCAGATACAACTGGCCCATTATGGCAGACCCACTGTGGCCTCTCAGGCTTCACTGGGAAACCTTAAATCCTTTTGGGACACTGCTTCCCCTCCTTACTAACACTCAACAAGCTGCTGTGGCACAGGACTGATCCCACGTCCTGTAAAATGCCTGTTACACAACTGTATGTCAATTATAATGCATATCCATACTGAGATTAAAGGCTGAGTGAATGACATCGACGGAGCCAAGGTTACTATGGAAACGGAGGAGAGCTAAGGTGCTACATGGGGTAAAAAAACAAGCTAACCACGGTAGGTAAACACAAATGTGTGCGAGCGTAGGTCCTAAACCAAGCTAATATGATATGTGACACCATGGCCACGTGATAGAGTAGCAAATACACGACATTATTGTACCAAGGCCTACACCGGAGGATGAGAGTGTCTCCACTTCCTGGAGCACCGACAAGCTAATGTGTAGCAGCAGCAGCACGAAGCGTCAGTAGCATCCTTACAGCACAACAGCTGGACGTCCGGTTACACACACACGACGGCGGGTGTAGCGGCGGTAAAAGAAGACATACTGAAGCACTTACGAGAGGAGGGTTTCCCTTATCTGTCGCGTCTCGTCCTGTCCATGACATCAGCTGTTTTCCGGCTGCGTTGGGGGGGATCGTGTGGGAGAGAGCGGGAGCGCGCGCAGGTTCCAATCACATCAACAGCACCAGCGCATGCAGCGGAGGCGCGCGGCCGTCTCCATGGTAACAGTGGAGGGGTCCTCAAGTGGCTGCATCACAACAGACTCCCAAATACTTTTATTTGGCTCGGCTGTTCAGCACTGTTATATTAAACTGTGGCAGACTAACACCTCCATCATCACATAAAACAGTTTTAGTATTATCAGGGAAAATATTTATTATTTTTTACCTTCTAATTGCTGTCATTCAATATCATAAATCACGTGCAGTCTTATAATCTATAGGTGAATATTTAGTTTCATGTCAGGTAAAACAAAGCTTCTGTATGCATACCTTTGATTGTGGCCCTCATGCATTATTGAGCACAGTACAGTGCTGTCAGGTTAATTCAGAGCATGCAGAGTTCCTGTGGGATGAAAGGTGCAAGTTGAAAGTTTTACTTCATCCTCTTGTGTGTGTCTGACACAGCCACTCATGGGCCTTTCCTTCCTTTGGCCTGGGCTTGTATCAAGCGGTTTAAACACTGCCAGAGTACAAACTGTGCAGCCGGTTGTCTGGAGGAAGCTTTGTTTTTACATCATCGGTTGCTTGAAAAACATCATATTAAAGTAATTACTGTGGTCTCAGTGCTATGGGCTGATACTTTTACTGAATAAAGCATGTGGAGGTCACTTTTGTTTTCCTCTCATGTAAATGATAAATGTTTTTGTTCATATTTAATGATGCACCAAGCCAGTAGGTGTTCCTCAATAAAGACGTGAAAAACAGTTGCAACTCAGTTTAAGATTTTCCCTTTCTTTTATTAGCATAAAGTAGTCCCGACAAGCCTCCGTGCATGCTGTTATGACGGCCCCTAGTGCCCAATAGTTACTAGTTATGAAGCACACACACACACCACTAGGCATATACACTCACCAGCCATTTATTAGGTACACTTGTTCAACTGCTTGTTAATGCAGATAGTTAATCAGTCAATCACATGGCAGCAACTCAGTGCATTTAGGCATGTAGACATGGTGAAGACGACCTGCTGAAGTTCAAACTGAGCATCAGAATGGGGAAGAAATGTGATTTAAGTGACTTTGAACATGGCATGGTTGTTTCAAAAACTGCTGACCTACTGGGATTTTCACACACAACCATCTAGGGTTTACAGAGGATGGTCTGAAAAAGAGAAAATATCCAGTGAGAAAATGCCTTGTTGATGCCAGAGGTCAGAGGAGAATGGCCAGACTGGTTCAAGATGATAGAAAGGCAACAGTAACTCAAATAACCACTGGTTACAACCAAGGTCTGCAGAAGACCATCTCTGAACCAACAACACGTCCAACCTTGAAGCAGATGGGCTACAGCAGCAGAAGACCACACCAGGTGCCACTCCTGTCAGCTAACAACAGGAAACTGAGGCTACAGTTCACACAGGCTCACCAAAACTGGACAATAGAAGA